TTTCCGTTTTAGCACCCAAAACTCATTCGGAACCTCCCGGACACAAACCATATATACGTTTCAATCATAAAATAAGCAGCGAACCTGCTCGCGCACTCAAAACACCTAAAAGAGGTCATCTTGACCCGATATTGACCATGGTCAAACTCCAAATCCTTAACTAGTTTCTCAACCAGTGATCCAAAACACACCCGAGCCCCTCGGGACCCCATTCAATCATACCAACAAGTCTTAAAACATGATACGAACTTAGTCGAAACTTCAAATCACATCAAACAATGCTAAAGCTACGAATCATACCCCATTCAAGCTTAACAAAACTAAGAAATTCTAACTTTTACATTCGATGCCGAAACCTATCAAATCAAGTCCGATTGACCTCAAATTTTGCACACAAGTCATAAATGACATAACGGACCTATAAAAATTTTCAGAACTGGATTCTGACCCCGATATCAATAAGTCAACTCTCGTTCAAAATTCCAAACTTAAATTTCTATTTTAGCCATTTCAAGCCTAATTTAACTACGGACTTCCAAATAATTTTCCGAATACGCTCTTAAGTCCAAAATCACCATACAAAGCTATTGAAATCATCAAAACTCTGTCCGAGGTCAAATTCACAAAAGTCAAACTTGGTCGGCAACTCTTCAATCTTAAACCTTCCTAGTTGAGAATCGTTCTTCCAAATCAATTCCGAATAACCTGAAAACCAAAACCGACGATTCTCACAAGTCATAATACATCACACGGAGCTACTCATACCCTCAAACTATCGAGCGAAGTGCAATTTCTCAAAACGACTGGTCGGGTCGTTACATCCTCCCCCACTTAAATATATATTCGTCCTCGAACGTGCCCAGAGTTGTTCTTATGCCGTCAGATCATCGTGTAACCTTGCAGTGCACATACCCGGGGGTGATCCCATGTCACCCTATTCCATATAGGCCCGAGAACACAACATACTGAAGATCATTACTTCAACCTTAGCCCGTAATCCCCATAATCCAATTTCCAACATATGGAATTTCCTACAAGACCCGAATCTCGCATCTACACACTGTCTAAGTCTGAACAAGTTACACAAAGACATAACTATAACCCGAGACACAATAACATGATATACCACATAACTCAAATACTCATAGCAATAACTACCGACTGCAATAGTTATTCGATAACCAACTCGACATCAGTAATAAACCTCATATCAACTAAAATCTTGTTCTGAACCGTTGTACACTACCGATGATGAAAGAAACACGCAGAAATGCTTAACCACTCATCAGATCAACAAGTTATGAAGCTCTCTCTTGTCCAACGGGAACCAAAGCCAAGTCCTAAGCCAACTTCAGATGTTATTCTTCCAAACATACCGTAATCAAATCCGATAGTATCTATTCCAGGTCTAATGACCTTATCTCATCAAACACAACTATTCTATTAACATGCCACACCAATACAACCTAAAGTCACAACCGTGAAATATGTGCACCAACAAGCAACAATTCGAACGTACTCAATTGGGGAAACTGACTCAAATGAGAGAACCGTCCCGCAAGCTCAACAAGTATCACCACAACGCAATGCTATGAACCCATCACATATAGTAGGACCAAAACACACGAATCTAATACAAAGTATCATATCCCAACATAGCCCCTCTGCAATGTGTGACCATCCAAACACCGGTCCATATGAAATACCTCAAGCCACAATGCTCAAAATCAACAACAACACGCAATTCGACATCAAGTACACGAAGTGCATAACCTTAACCATGGAGAATCCAATAACGCAATATACCACAGCCCGAAAAGATCATAACCAAGGCGCAATCAACCATTCCACACCCCAATCACCATCTCGCTCGAATTCCTCTATAAGGCCTGTAACACCCCAAATGTTTACTAATATTTGCATTTTCGATAAAGTATCTTTATAATGAGGAAATATTTTTTTTTACTTCGCACTTCCTAAACGTGAAATTGACAATACATGAAAATTGCTTACTTTAGGTTGTGTTAATATTGACAAAGAAGTTTCATGGTGTTGCTATGTGTAACACTTAATATTTTTTTGATGAATTATTATTAAATACATTATATAATTAAGGTTTTGGGCTTCCACCCTTTTGTATTTATCTAAAGATATTTAGTAGGTTGGGCAACCACATTTTTCATGTTTATCCAAAGTTTTTATATTACTTTTGTGATATGCTTTTTCATAACCTCATCTCATTTTCAGTCCTTAATGCCAAAGAAAACCCCATCTCTCTCTCATCCTTATCACCTGAAAAACTCCATTAAAACCATCATAAATTTCCACTAAACCAACCAGCAAAATGCGTTCTTGGTGAAGCTCAAGTTGCTCCTCTCTCTTGTGGTAAGTTACTAAACCTATTTTTACACTAGACAACTATTAGTATTTTCTTCATATCGTTTTGTATAAAGCTCCGTTTTAAGCGATCTAAGACCTCCTGGAAAGATATTTCTTAGATCTATAACTCTTATTCAGGAACCAAAATTTAGTTTTGCTTATATTTACCCGAAAAGGGATCATAAAGTACAGGGATGTGCTGCCCAGATTTTTAGTTTTAAAAATACTCCATGTACTATTGTTAGTAATTTTAGCATAACCATTTGTACAAAACTGATATTGGGATGATTCAAGGTGTTCTGAAACACCAAGACATATATCTACAACTATAATGAAGACCATACAGTCTAGTTTGTCATTTTTCATATTTAAAACTGAGTCACAACACAAGATAGTGATACTGTCCAGAATTTTTATTTCAAATATTTTGGGTACTTTTCACCAATATCATGTTTAGTTTGACATGTTAAATCACTAAACTTATATAGATATTTGATTATGTATTTAAGGTACATATCTCCTTGTAAAATCTAAGAGGAAGTATTTGAAGTGGACGGATTTGGTTTGTCTATAGCATAGACGATTCGAACGTCCTCAAGTTGTGGTTGAACTATTTTGTAGAAAAACACCAAGGTTTGTGTATACACTTTGTACTCTTTTTACTTGCTGAAATATTTTGAAATAACCTGATATTTTGTTTTTTATTGTCTTCAATTTATATCGTTGTATCCGTTTTATATCAAGCATTGTAAGATATTCGCTCAATCGCCCACTCGTACGGATTTCTTGATCTTTTTGCATTCTTGTTGGGACTTTGTTCTTCATGTGGCACTGACTTTGTCACTCATCTTGGCATGCCTCTTCATTCAGATCTTTTGCCATCTTGACTTTGGATTTGTAATTCGTCTTAAATTATTAAACTTGTCCATGTTAAGTACGAACTAGAAAGACATTTTTAATATAGTTCTTGGTTCTCTTGACTATTGGGTTTTGACCCTACTTGATTTGGGGTTTCGGTCCATCTTGATATCTGATTTTGCTTAGTGTGATGGAATGACGTACACATTGGGCGAAAAATGGATATTTGACAAACTCTCTTGGATTGATAATATATGCTTTTTCAACTCTTGAATCTTGAACATTGTTATTGATATTTGGAAATACTTCAAGGGTTGATATTTGATACTTTTGATATATTTATTCACTTGTTTTAAATTATGTTTTATTTGAGCTACCTATGACTGAAAATGGGAATTGGAGAAGTTAATGGCTCCAAGCCTAAAGTTTATACGCCACTAAGCTTTATGCTTAGCGATAGTTGTTTTTTTATCGTAGATAATGTACGAGATGAAATTTGAAGACGACCTTATTAAGTAGTCTTTTTGGGAGCACTTATGGAGATCACATTTGTATATGCACCATGGTTTTGTATAGTTTTGGGACATGTACATGATATATATGTCACACTTATTTATGTTATTTGGAGGCTTGTTGGATCTTAAGACCAAAAATCTTGTAACTTGAATTTGGTAACTTATTTTGTTGTTTTAGGGTGTGTTAATAACTCAAGTCTTGTAATATGCCGAATTTACACTTTGTCTTGTTAATATGTACAAAGGAGAAAACTGGTTTTCCTTTTTATAGCGGATAGTTTGAAATTTATGTACAATACAAACTTGTAGTGATGTCGAATGAAGGTATAATTTTGTTAGGAAGTTGTTTTAACGTATTGATTATTCAAAAAGGGTTATATCACCTTATGTTGATATTTTGACATTGTATTTTATTTTAAAAAATAAAATAAAAATTATGAAGAGTACTTTCAAAAATAATAATATTGCACTTTGGACCTCATCGCATGGGCCTATTTATGCTATTAAATTATTCTGAATATTTTTTTTAATTAATATCTTCTTAGTGTTGTAAGTAATGAATTGGATTTGTTTCGTAAGTAGTACCTTCCCAAAGGAGTTGCTACAAGTTTTGGTATCAGAGCCTAGGTTTGTGATTCTAGGATTTTTGTTGTGATCATACCTAATATTTTTATTATTTTCTTTCTTGAAAATGACTTGGAGATTATAAATTTTTGCATACTTATTTAATGTAATTTGATGTATTCCTTGTGCTTATGCATCATGTACATGTCCCTAATGCAGTGTGATCTTATCTTTTATAGAAATTTTAATATGGCCTCTTCTTCGAATAGAGCTATTGAATCCATTGATGAAAGTCAGGCCCATTATAATGCTCCACCTCACCTCCAAGAAGGAGATGAGGTACCCTTGCCCAACCTAAATCATCGTCGTGTTAGTGAAAATGAAGTGGGCAATAATCTAAGAACAATAGGTTATAGTACTCCTATTATGACTCCTCCATTTCAGTAGATGGCTGAACTCTTTCGTCACTTGGCTAGGACAATGTCAAAACCTAGTGAAATGAATTTTGAGAAGATGAGAAAAATGGGTGGAGTTGAATTTGAAGGCACTACTGATCCCACGGTAGCTGAACAATGGCTCGAGCGCATGGAGAGGGTATTTGAATAACTAGAGTGTACTAATGCTGCCAAATTTAAGTATGTTATCTCTCTTTTACAAAAAGATGCCTATGATTGGTGCGTAAGTATGCCAAATGCAAAAGCAAAACCTTCGGTGCTGACTTGGGATGACTTTGTGAAAGCATTTCGTGCGAAATATGTCCCCCCTGTCTATTGTGATGCTAAGAAAAAAGAATTTCTGAATTTAAGACAAGGGAGTATGTCTATTGCAGAGCGTCAACAAAAATTTCTTAGGCTTTCTCGCTATGCTGGAGGTATTATTGATGGTGAAAGAGACAAGTGCAGAAAATTTGAAGAAGGTTTGAATTGTTACATTCGAAAGTCTGTGGCAATCTTGCAACTTGAGGATTTTTCCAAGCTAATTACAGCTGCTCTTACTTGGGAAAGAATTGACAAGGAAGAAGCTAGTAGGAAAGAAAACAGGTTTAGGAAGGGTAATTCAGATTATGGTGGTCCATCCAAGAAGGTAAAGTTTGACTATTCCAAGATTGAAAGTGCACAGAAGTCATCATATCATAAGCAGAATAAGCCAAATTTCTCTACTGCTTGTACTCCAAGTTATGTCCAAGGCAAAACTTATACACCTACTTGTGCACAATGCGGGAAGAATCACTAAGGTGCCTGCAAAAGAGCTTCTAGTGCTTGTTTTAATTATGGAAGTCTAGATCATAAAGTGAAGGATTGTCCTAATTCTAATCATCTTTCTTATACACATACAGAGGGCTCAGTTCAAAAGCCTGTCACTACTCATTCTCAAGCTAATAGTGGTGCAAGACCTAGAAATGTGCAAGCAACGAGTTCGGGTGGAGCTAATCAGGCTAGAGGGCCGAGATCTACTGCACGAGTCTATGCTATGAGACAAAGGAATGACCAAGATGGCCCAGACGTGGTTGTTGGTAAATTTCACTTATTTGGCATATCTGTTGTTACATTATTTGATCATGGATCTTCACACTCTTATGTTTGCTCATCACTTGCATTTCCTGATACTGTTAAATCTGTGAGACTTGACTTTGATGTGCTGGTCATGAGTCCATTAGGTCATCAGGCTGTTGTTAACAGGATTTACCGAGATTGTCCATTCATGATTCGAAATCTGGTCTTCCCTGTAGACTTGCTTGAAATACCCTTCCAGGACTATGATGTTATTGTTGGTATGGACTGGGTCCATAGGTACCATGCATTGGTTGATTGTAGGTTGAAGCAAGTGACTTTTAGTACTCCTGCATATTTATACATAGTAGTTTAAGGAGAAAGATCATTGGCATCTAATATTATTTCTGCGGTCTTGGCAAGGAAGATGATTTGTCAAGGTTGTGATGCTCATATAGTCGATACACGATTGGAGAGTCCAAGTCTTAAGGACATACCAACCGTGTGCGACTTTCCTGATGTATTTCCTGATGAGCTTCTTGGGTTGCCTCCAGAAAGGGAGATTGAATTTCCTATACAGCTTGTCCCTAGAACTACTCCTATTTCTATCGCTCCTTATAGATTGGCCCCAGCTGAATTAAAAGAGTTGAAGGCTTAATTGTAAGAACTTCTTGAGAAAGGTTTTATCCGTCCCTGTATTTCGCCTTGGGGAGCTCTTGTTTTATTTGTGAAAAAGAAAGATGGCACTCTTAGGTTTTGCATTGATTACCGATAACTAAACAAGGTAGCAATCAAGAAAAAATACCCACTGCCTAGAATGGATGACTTGTTTGACCAACTGAAGTGTGCCGGCTTGTTCTCAAAAATTGACTTGAGGTCTGGATATTATCAGTTGTGCGTGAGGGAGCAAGATGTTCCTAAAACTGCTTTTAGGACCAGGTATGGCCATTATGAATTTTTGGTAATGCCATTTGGTTTGACAAATGCTCTTGCTGCATTTATGGATCAAATAAATCGTGTATTCAAGCCTTATCTTGATCAATTTGTGGTGGTGTTTATTGATGACATTTTAGTCTATTCCAAGAATAGAGAAGATCATGATAAGCATCTCCGAATTGTCATGCAAATTCTGATAGAGAGGCAACTCTATGCGAAGCTTTCCAAATGAGAATTTTGGCTGAGTGAATTGGCATTTTTGGGGCATATTGTATCAGCTGAAGGTGTAAAGGTTGATCCTAGTAAAATTAAAGCTATTGTTGATTGGAAACCTCCTAAAACTCCAACTGAGATCAGAAGTTTCTTGGGTTTAGCAGGATACTATAGGAGGTTCGTGAAGGACTTCTCTATTATAGCTTCTCCTTTGAACAAACTTTTGGGGAAAGACGCCAAATTTGTGTGGGATGACAAGTGTCAAGAGAGCTTTGAAAAGCTCAAATCCTTGTTGACACAAGCTCCAATACTCTCTTTGCCAGTTGAAGGGAAAGATTATGTGGTATACAGTGATACATCTCACCGTGGCTTGGGTTGTGTTTTGATGCAAGAAGGGAAAGTAATTGCTTATGACTCTCGAAAGTTGAAATCAAATGAGTTGAATTATCCCACTCACGATCTTGAACATGATGCCATTGTTTTTGCCTTAAAAATATGGAGGCATTACTTGTACGGGGAGAAGTGTCACATATTTATTGATCATAAGAGTTTGAAGTACTTGGGTACACAAAAAGAGTTAAACTTGAGACAATGTAGACAGCTTGAACTCATCAAAGATTATGATTGCACGATTGATTATCATCCTGGTAAAGCCAATGTGGTTGCAGATGTGTTGAGTCGCAATTCCTTCGCAAGTTTAACTCTAAGTCCTTTGCCCTTGCTTCTTGAATTAAGAGCCATGAATGTTTGTCTTTCATTTAATTCTAATAGTTCTATCATTGCTAATTTGCAAGTCAAACCAGTTTTACTTGAGCAGGTCCAAGAAGCGCAGAAGTTATATGAGAAGCTTGTGAAACGTATTGAAAAAGTCCAAAATGGAAGAGAATCGGATTTTACATTGAAGAAAGTTGGTACTTTATTTTATAAAAATAGTTTGTGTGTTCCTAATTATGATGAATTGAGAAAGCATATCTTGATTGAAGCACATAGTTCACCTTATGCAATGCATCCTGGAGGTACTAAAATATACCAGACCATCAAGGAGCACTACTGGTGGAATGGTATGAAGAAAGATATTGCAGAGTTCATTTCTAAGTGCTTGGTATGTCAACAAATAAAAGCTGAACATCAAGTCCCAGCTGGTCTACTGCAACCCTTGTCAATACCTGAGTGGAAATGGGAAAGGATAATGATAGACTTTGTTTCTGGACTTCCACGCACTCAAAGGAATCATGATGCAATTTGGGTCATTGTAGATAGACTAACTAAGAGTGCTCATTTCTTGGCAATCATAATGGACTACTCATTGGAACGTTTGGCAGCATTATACATTAATGAGATTGTGAGGCTGCATGAAAATCCTGTTTCTATTGTATCTGATAGAGATCCAAGGTTTACATCCAGATTTTAGTCTAGCTTGCAAGAAGCTTTGGGTTCCATGTTGAATTTAGTACCACTTTCGATCCACAAACAGACGGCCAGTCTGAGAGGGTAATACAAACCTTGGAGGATATGCTTCGAGCCTGCATTATTGAGTTTGAGGGTAATTGGGACAAACACTTAGCCCTGATAGAATTTGCTTACAATAATAGCTACCAATCAAGTATAGGCATGCCTCCTTATGAAGCTTTGTATGGGAGAAAATGCAGAACACCTCTTTGTTGGAACGAGGTTGGTGAAAGAAAATTAGTGGGTCTTGAGATTGTTCAACAAACTAAAATAAAGTAAAAATCATCAAGGATCGCTTAAAAATTGCCTCAGACAGACAAAAGTCTTATGTTGATCTTGAGAGGAGTGAAATTGAGTATAAAGCGGGTGATAAGGTATTTGTAAAGATTTCTCCATTGAAGAAGATTATGAGATTTGGCCAAAAAGGTAAACTTAGTCCACGATTTATTGGACCTTATGAAGTGCTTGAGAGAGTTGGCCCAGTTGCTTATAAACTAGCTCTTCCACCAGAGTTAGACAAGATCCGCAACATCTTCCATGTTTCTATGCTTAGAAGATACCGCTCAGATCCATCTCATGTTCTTCCTATTGAATCTATTGAGGTCAATCCTGATTTGACATATGGAGAAGAACCAATCCAAATCTTAGCACGTGAGTTAAAAGAGCTTAGAAACAAGAGCATCCCCTTAGTGAAAGTTCTTTGGAAAAATTATTCTGGCGAAGAAGCTACCTGGGAGCGAGAAGAAGATATGCAAGTTCAATATCCACATTTGTTTAGGGACTAGTACAAGGTAAATTTCGGGACAAAATTTTTTAAAGGGGGAGAGAGTTGTAACACCCAAAATATTTACTAATATTTGCATTTTCGATTGAATATCTTTATAATGAGGAGATAAATTTTTTACTTCGCATTTCCTAAACGTGAAATTGACAATACATGAAATGTTTTTACTTTAGGTTGTGATAATATTGAGAAAGAAGTTCCATGGTGTTGCTATGTGTTACACTTAATATTATTTTGATGAATTGTTATCAAATATATTATATAATTAAAGTTTTGGGCTGCCACCCTTTTATATTTATCTAAAGATATTTAGTAGGTTGGGCAACTACATTTTTCATATTTATCCAAAGTTTTTATATTACTTTTGCGACATGCTTTTTTATAACCTCGTCTCATTTTCAGTCCTTAATGCCAAAGAAAACTCCACCTCTCTCTCCTTCTTATCACCTTAAAAACTCCATGAAAATCATCATAAATTTCCACTAAACCAACCAGCAAAACTCGTTCTTGGTGAAGCTCAAGTTGCTCCTCTCTTTTATGGTAAGTTACTAAACCCGTTTTTACACTAGATAGTTATTGGTGTTTTCTTCATATAGTTTTGTATACAGATCCATTTTAAGTGATCTAAGACTTTCTGGAAAGTTAATTCATAGATCTATAACTCTTATTCAGGAACCAAAATTTAGTTTTGCCTGTATTTACCTTAAAAGGGATCATAAAGTACAGGGCAGGTGCTGCCCAAATTTTCAGTTTTAAAAATACTCCCTGTACTACTGTTAGTAATTTTAGTATAACGTTTTGTACGCAACTGATATTAGGTGATTCAAGATGTTATAAAATGCCAAGATATATATCTACAACTATAATGAAGACCATACAGTCTAGTTTGTCCTTTTTCATCTTCAAAACTGAGTCACAACACAAGACAGTGATACTATCCAGAATTTTTGTTTCAAAAAGTTTGGGTAATTTTCACCAATATCATGTTTAGTTTGACATGTTAAATCAGTGAACTTATATATATATTTGATTAAGTATTTAAGGTATATATATATACCCTTGTAAAATCTAAGGGGAAGTATTTGAGGAAGTGGATGGATTTGGTTTGTCTATGGCGTAGACGATTCGAACATCCTCAAGTTGTGGTTGAATTATTTTGTGGTTAAACACCAAGGTTTGTGTATAAACTTTGTACTCTTTTTACTTGCTTGAATATTTTGGAATAACCTGATATTGTATTTTTTATTGTCTTCAATTTATATCGTTGTATTCGTGTTATATCAAGTATTGTAAGATATTCGCTAAATCGCCCACTCGTACGAATTGCTTGATCATTTTGCATTCTTGTTGGGACTTTGTCCTTCTTGTGGCAGTGACTTTGTCACTTATCTTGGCATGCCTCTTGATTCGGATCTTTTGCCATCTTGACTTTGAATTTGTAGTTCGTCTTAAATTATGAAACTTGTCTGTATTAAGTGCGATCTAGAAAGCCATTTTTAATATGGTTCTTGATTCTCTTGACTATTGGGTTTTGACCCTACTTGATTTGGGACTTTGGTCCATCTTGATATCTGATTTTGCTTAGTGTGATGGCATGACGTACACATTAGGCGAAAAATGGATATTTGGCAAACTCTCTTGGATTGATAGTATATGCTTTCTCAACTCTTGAATCTTGAACATTGTTATTGATATTTGGAAACACTTCAAGGGTTGATATTTGATACTTTTGATATATTTATTCACTTGTTTTAAATTATGTTTCATTTGAGCTACCTATGACTGAAACTGGGAATTGGATCTCCAAGCCTAAAGTTTATACGCCACTAAGCTTTATGCTTAGCGATAGTTGTTTTCTATCGTAGGTAATATACGAGATGAAATTTGAAGACGGCCTTATGAAGTAGTCTTTTGGGGAGAACTTATGGAGATCACATTTGTATATGCACCATAGTTTTGTATAGTTTGGGACATGTACATGATATATATATGTCACTCTTATGTATGTTATTTGGAGGCTTGTTGGATCTTAAGACCAAAAATCTTGTAACTTGAATTTGATAACTTAATTTGCTGTTTTAGGGTGTGTTAATAACTCAAGTCTTGTAATACTGAATTTACACTTTTTCCTTGTAAATATGTACAAAGGAGAAAACTAGTTTTCTTTTTTATATCCGATAGTTTGAAATTTATGTATAATACAAACTTGTAGTGATGTCGAATGAAGGTATAATTTTGTTAGGGTGTTGTTCTAATGTGTTGATTATTCAAGAAGG